GGATGTTGCCTTTGCTATTATCCTACGGCACCGTCGCAAGAAGAAAAGGAGCTGATGAGCCCCTCTGTAAACTGTCAGGCCCAATATGAACGAACCCCTGCAATGGGATTGCCAGTTGGCTCGGAGGCCACCCCTTCCTGCTCCAGCTACGGAGACTGGACCCATGTGAGGCAATGATTCTGGATAACAGTTTCTGCCCCAGGCACCTACATTTTGTATTGGAAGGTCACTCGAAGTTCAAGTCTTGAGGGGAAGATGAAGAAGCTGATTTTTGCCCCATTCAGCCTCATCAACACTAAAGCTAACACTCCCTGACTCCCATGTCCACTTCTCAATTGGATCCAAACTCAGAGAAGATTTAGTGGCGTGAATGATGAACTTTCCCATGACCACAGCCATTGTTCCCGTCCCATAGGCCAGCATCACCTGCTGGGGTGCAGCTCCCTCCTGGACTCTTGGGCCCCTGGACACTGACGTCATTTCATGATTCTTGGAATCTACCGGGAGGGGGTACATTGCCAGGGCCTGATAAATGTCTCGTCCATTCATTAATTCATTTGGAGGTAGAAGGGCTAGCGTTCCATGAGTTACCCCAGAAGGCTGAAGAAAGGTTGAGGAGGAGTGGATGGCTGTGCCTGGGGGACTCTGGGAGGCCAGGCCACTCGGCCCATGTAGAGCACAAGAGCCTCGGCCCACAAGAGCACACTCTCCAGCCCGGTTGCCCCACTCTGGGCCAGGAGTGTCAGGGCTCCCGGGAAAGGCTGGGAGCTGTCACCTTGGCCTGCTCAGGGCCATGGCACGTGACAGAAACCACAGGCAATGGGCTCCTATGCCAATCATCTTGTGCTCTGCAGACAGATGGTCTGGGGAGCCTGGGTGACATCCTTCAAAAGGGACCAGAGACAGAGACCATCCCAGTGCTGAGTAGCAGAAACAGAGATTATATCAATAGTGTTGATGATGTTATAACTGGATGTGCACAAGCAAAGGGCCTCAGGTTGGTCTTTAGTCCCCTGAATCCCAAGACAGAATGGGACCCTGTTGATGCCTCTAGGACCCTCTTTCTGCCCATGCCCTCCTGGGACCTGTAGAGTAATTTTCAGACACTAGACCATCTGCCCTTGGATACCTCTTTCTATTCAGGCTGGGAAAACCAGGACACAGGAAAAGAATGGCCTAGAAGGCAAAGGTGGAAGCCGCTTCCATCTCCCACAAGCACCAGAAAACACCTGGGCTGCTTCTCCATCCTCTACACCCAACATCCACTCAGAGATTTGTATTTGCCACGCATATAATTCACAGTCACACATTCCCCTGAGGAGGCCCCTCCAGCTGCCATCCCTTATCTCTGATGTGGGCTCCGCCCACCTTCCCCGATTCACCTGGAAGAAAAACAGCAGGGAGCTCTCTGGGGGCCTGCAGACTGAGGCTCCAGCCTCACACTGCAACACTTCTCCCTCTGTCTGGTCATCAGGCCGTGGCCCACCACGTGGCTCCACGGAAGTTCCACAGCATGCTAGCCCAAGTCACACAGATGTTCTCTTTCCACGCCACCTCATCTTCCTTGAACACAGGCAGGGGAGGTCAGGAAACCCAAGGCTTATACTGTTCCCTGCTCTGAGTGCTGGAGGCCTGAGTTCAGGGGAAGGAATGGGGATCCCAAGAAATGGGAGGGGCCGGAACACCCTGAAGAATACCACGGGATGAGCATCCTATCCTTAGGGAATGAAGATAACAGGAACACAATAAAAATGAGTCACTAGTCAAGAAGTACAAACTTCCAGCTATAAAATAAGTAAGTCCTGGAGATGTAATGTACTGCCCAGTGCCTATATTGTTAAGATACTGTATCGTATATTTGAAAGTTGCTAAGAGAATAGCTCTTAAAAGTTCTCATCACAAAAAAAAGACATTTGTAACTATGTGTGGTTAACCAGACTTAGTGTGGTGATCACTTTGCAATACCTATAAATATCGAATCATTACGTTGTACCCCTGAAACCAATAAAATGTCATGTGTCAGTTATATCCCAGTTAAAAAAATGAACCACTAATCATTCCTTCTCAAACTCTTTGGGCTGTAATTATGATAAAGCCCACAGGGAACACCTAGCCTACAAAACACAAGTCTTAAAAGTCAACCTCCTGGGCCTATGCTGCCCTCCTCTGCTGTCTTACAGAGGGAACGCTGCAGGACAGAGGCCATCTGAGATTCTGTCCCACTCCACAGGCCTCCAGGGAATCTTGGACTCAGAGGCAAAAGAGAACTCTGGATTCCTCTTGTCCATCCTTGCCCCAGGGCAGGAAGGGAGAAAGGAAAGGAACCCAACAGCCACGTGAATGGATGGAGGAAAAGCTGGGTTTGCAAACGGTGTGCCCATGAGGGCTCCTCCCTGGGAAGGCCCAGGCCTCTGGCCTGGCTGATGGCAGGGGGAGCATGTGTGGTCTGAGCTGGGGCCAAATGAATTATAGCTGAGCACCTGAGCACCAGAACAAAGTAATCCAAACGTTGGCCGAATCAAAGGAAACTGATACTTGACATTACAAGCTGGCGTGGCCTTTTATACTGGCTGGGGAGACAGCCCAGCCCGGTGTGGAATTTCTGGCCTCCTCCTTTCTGCTCTCAGCCCTGAACTTGCCTCGAACTTGAAAGGGCTAATTAAAGCCCAAAGAAAAATCAAAAGCTTGTTATCTGGCTCCATGACTCCTAGCCCTGGCATTAGCCTGTCTTGCAAAGCTATTATCCCTCTGTTCTATCCAAGGCCACCATGCGGCCTTAGGACCTGCAGCTCTGCAGACTTCCATGATGAACTTTGCTTTTTGTACTGTGGCAGGGAGCAAGGGCGGGCCAAACACCTGCCCATGGGCAGCCAGGTTGATCCCTGCAGCTGATTGTACTCCCAAAAGCATCACCTGAAAAGACAGAATTTGAGCAAGTTTTCTACAGAAAAGCATCTACAGAAAAAATAGCCAACACATCTGATCTCGAAAGAACTAGCTGTTTCATAAGCATACAGTGTAAACTTGCATTTTCGAAGCTAGGGTGTGCATGTGTGTGTGCATGCTTGTGGGGGTATTTACTGCATGTGTGCACACACGCATGGGTAGGTGTGCGTGTGTGCATGTGTGTGCATGCATATGTGCAAGTGGGATTTTCCTCAAGAGGCAACGGAGACTTCCCTCAAGTGCTGTGTCTGCCGTTCTTTCCCAAAATATGTGACCTTGGGCAATTTATTAACCTTGTTGGGCCTCAGAATGAGAGTATAAACCAGAAGATCTCTAAGGGCCTTCCCCATGCCAGCTTCCTAATGCATCTCCCCCAAGAAGTTGTGCTTGAACATGTAACATACATCCATACAGCACAGCACCTAGCCTGTCCTTTATAGCCTGCATTTGGGAGAAGTCCATGGCCCCCAAGTTTATAAACCTGTCTCCTCAACTCTCCTGGGTGGATCAGCCACTGCCCTAAACCAAAGGCTCCCAAAGATATGTCATCCATTAGGGCTCGGCGGGTACAATGGAGTCCCCTCCACTCTATGGCCTGGCCATGATTGTCAACTGATTGCTTCCTTCTCTGGCCCATGGTACCTCTCCCATTTCCTCTGTGACACTAGGAGTCTCTTGGCTTCTCAGGACCTCCAGAAATAAATGGCATCTTTTAGTTTCAGCCCAGGCACCTGAAAAACTCACCACTGGAAAACAGCCTGAGCCTAAATGTTAGGGCACCAAAGACCAACCTTGCCAAATCCCTGCTTTCTCCTCCATCTCCGCTACCCCCAACCCGGAGTCCCAGTGCCCACAGGACTGGCCCCCAAGCTGCCTGGGTGCCAGTGCCCTCTAAGATGTGCTTGGCAAGTAGCCATACTTCATGAAGGGAAACTTAGACTTTTAAAGTCAATGAAAATACATTTTCCTAATGTGGAATTCCATCGAAGTTGGACTGGCCATCAAGAATCACATCCATGCAAATACACTTCTACCTGTGTGTGAATTCTCCTTTCTTCTCTCTAATTATGATCACAGGATAGATTTTTCTCCAACTAGATTCATGATTTTTTAAGTGAATGATAAAAAGGAGAAAGGAGAGGGACACGGGGTATAGAAGATGAAGATGCTCATAACTGAGCTTCTAAGTCCCTGCAATCATTTTCAAGATGAACAGAAGTCCAGCCACAGCAAGCCGGGCCACAAGTGAGTTAGGCTGGGGGAGGCAGGAGATCATGTCACCTGTTGCACCTATGGCCACCCAGCAAGGCCCTGGGAAGGCCTCCTAAACCCACCCTTCATTCCCCGCCTCCCTCCGGTTTCCTTCAGCACTTCTCTCACCCAGTACTGTTCCAAGGCTGCTTGGCATGTCTCTTCCATGGAACTGGGCACACAGAAGATGCTCCAGAAATGCAGCCTCCTAAGCAAGCTCTCCTTTTGCCTCTATGTTCACTGGATTCCCACCCTACTTCTACTCTCATTTTGCCCTTTCCTAAAGATACTCAAGGAACTAAAAACATAATACTCCTGAAGTTCTAGATCTATCCCAAATGTAGAATGCCTGGCTCCATTATTCCCACTACTGGTTTTATTCCAAGTTCCCAGGAAAGTGATTTGTAGGCACGGTCAGTACGAAGGTTGGGTACATGACTTGTACCAGAGGACATGATAATCTGGCCTTAACAATGACTGGTACATATGATATCTATATAACAGAATTCCCACTTATTCCTAGCATGTCCTCCTATAACCATGAGCCAATATGGAATAGAGAAAAGTGCCCAGATAGGAGATCTACCTTTCAGGTCTACCTCCAACTCTGATAAGCTCAGTGTCACAGACATAACACAACACATTTGAGTTGGTGCTGATCCGAGTCCAGGGAGACCCAGAGACGGGATGTACTTGTCTCACTTGCAAAATGGGATGGGTGATTCACATCCCATGGAGGCCCCAGGCTAGGGTCCCCCTGCCATACCATGCCCTCCTAGCCCATGGACCCTCCCCTTACTCACCGCGCTGCTGCAGGGAATGTCCTTCACCTTGAGCCACGCTAGGTCCAGCGTACCCTCCCCCCGATAGCAGGACTGCAGTCGCTCCTTAATGCGATCGTTGATCTGCTTCAAGATGAAGATGCACAGGGCTGACTCATCCAGGGATTTCATTTTCCGCTTTTGGCCCTTGGAGAAGACAGTGAAGAGGAGGTCATCCTCTGGACGAACTCCAAGGGTCCGGGCGAGCACGGCACCAGCTTTGGACAGGTAGGCGGCCTGCAACAGGCGGTACTCGACCCCACTGCGCTCACAGCCAATGGGCACCTCCACATAGGAGTTGAAGGCCGTGTCCTCCTTGCAGAGCCTCACGAGCTTGGAGGTATAGACCTGTTCCTTTGTGGTAGAGCCTGGTGGAGACACCATCTCAGGCTGGAGGGTCAAAAAGTAGACAAAATTGCCGCTGCTGAAGCCATAGACATAGTAGATATCAAAGTCGGGGATGACGGTGAAGGTGTCCGAAGGAATCTTAATCATCGAGGCCACAAACTCATCGTGGAAGACATAAGCAAACATGCCGTCTGCCTCGGAGTTCTTGGTCAGCTTCCGGCTGGAGATGGTAGGGAAGTACTCCGGCTTCCCATCCACTGCAGTGGCGATGAAGAGCTTGTCGTCCAGGTTGCTGTAGGAGACGATTACTCCAAAGACGGAGCCACTCTCATTGACTCCCGACAGGTAGTGTTCCTTCTTGTGGAAAGGCTCCCCCAGCTTGAAGAGGTCCTCAAGCCTGAGAAGCTTGCAGATGCCTTGGTACAGGCTCCCACAGGCAATGAGCCTGTTCTCTTTGTAGTCTATCAGGAGCATCTTGTTGACATTGTTGGTGGTGGTCAGGGGCTCATTGCATGTCTGGACGATGCGCGGTGGGTAACACTTAGGGTTGTCCTCGTCCGGCCCTGTCTGGTGGGTCACCAAGACCTTCAGGTCACTGGAGAGCTTGTAGATCCGGTTGACAGCCCCCAAGTAAATGTGCCCTGTCCTCTCGTCCACCACCAGGTGGTTGAAACCCTCGGCTGGCTCCCCACGGAACGTGACAAAAGACCGCTTCGGGGACGTTGGGGGTGGCTGCCGGGGGAGCAGAGTGGAGGAGCCCATCCCTACCATCAGGAGATGGGAGAGAAGGCAAGTCCAGTTCCAAGGCATGGCTTTCATTTCAGAAACAGGTCCTCACGGCACGGCAGCACTCGGCACGAGGGTCCCCTTGGAGGGCCAGGACTCAGCAGTAGAGGCTCCCTACGGGGGAAAGCAAGGATGAGATACTGGACAACAATGGCAGTGGCCTAGTTTCACCCTACAGCTTGTGTGGCTGGACCCGAAAGTCCTCTGCACACGCTGAGACAGAGAACTGCCCTGGAGATGCTAAAGGCCAAGGGACTCTGCCCCCATGTGTGTGGGGACAGCCACAGCTGGGTGGCAGGAGGGCAACCTCAACAATAACAATAATGCTAATAGTAATGATAATAGTGATGAGGATGATGATGAAGATGAAGAACAGCCACTGGCTACCTGATGCCTGGCTGTGGAACAGTCACTGTCCAGCACCTCCCAGAGACTGTCTCATTTCTTCGGACAAACCCTTCTGTGTTGGGTATCTTCCACCTGCCCCTCTAGATCCACTCACCCCCCTTCTCTGTGCCCAGGAGGCTGACCCGGGTCGACTGTACATGCATGGGCTGCCTGCCCTCGGGCCTGGTGGAGTGTCAGCAGAAGGCCAGCAGGAAGGGGAGGGGACAGCAGGGTGGGGGTGGGCTGCAGGCACTGGCTGCCACCCTCACCCCCAGGGCTCAGTGGCCCTAGGCATGCCTCCCCATGCCACCTCTCTATCTCCAGGTTCTGTGAACCACCTCCTGCCCACCCCCACTTGGTCCTACAGGAGGTAACGGGGCCTCACCGTTTCTATCCCAAATAGTGCTCTGCCTCTTAAGGAGCCACACCTTTGTGAAGAGCTCCTATATTAACCTTTGGCACAAATAACCAGATTTGCATGTGCTGTCTCCTGCTGGGACCCTGACTCCTAGTCCTCTGAAGTAAGGAGTATTGCTATCCCCACCATGCAGCTTAGGGAAGTTATACAACTTGCATAGCTTATAAGTGGTAGAGGTGGATTCAAACCCAGGTGTGCAAGTTGACAGTGGGTTCTCATTCTTCACTGCTAATCCAGCTCAGTTTACCCTGGCCTGGAGCGGGTGGGGATGGACACCAGCTATGTTCATGCCCAGCAGAACAGTTCAGACGACCCTTTCTCGGGGGCTGTCGGTTACAGACCCAGCTCGCTGGGTCTACACCTACGCTTCTCCTTTACACCTCCCCACTGCCAAACCGGTGCATGAGGCTGATTCTGGATCTCTCTGCAGCATCCTGGATCCCTCTGAAGCATCCTGGATCCCTCTGCAGCATAGTGGCAACCGGAGCCTCCGGGTGCGCTGCCCAGCTCTGAGCTCTGATGTCATTTTAATGAGGCAGACCTTGGCTGCCTCCTACTGGGGCCTCCTCTGAGAGGTTTTCATTAAAGGGAGAGAACAAATGGCTTAAGAAGTGGTCCCGGACATAAATAAATAACTCCCCATGGGACCCAATAGCGCTTGGTCCTAACAATCTCATTCATTTCTATTCAAGAGGACAGCTTCATAGTTCTTCCAGTTTGAGAGAAACCAGGGCAGGAATGGCCTACATCTTATTTGGGGGCATCTCAGCTTTGCCGAATTTCTCCTGTTCACCCCCACATCCTCGATAACAGGATGGTAGGAAGAGGTAGACCACAGAGCAAGAGAAGCCCCCCCACAGGGAGAGTGCAAGGTTCCTTGAAGGCCAAGAGAAGAAAGAAGAAAGCCAAGACTCAATGTCATCAGCTAAAATCCTGACAGAAACCCCAAGTCCTCTAAAGGGCATATCAGAGGAAGAGGTGGTTGTGTAGCCACAGTCCAGAGCAGTCCTGCCAGCCCGGGGCCTTCATTCACTCGCCCACGTGATGGATATTGGCACAGGGCACACTCGGAACATGCAAAATGCTGCGGGATCCCAGGATAGCCAAGGCGGCTGGGGCCCTCCAAGAACTTGGGGTCAGGTCAGGTAGATGCCACCAGAACCTAACATGCAGACAGTGAAATGCTATGTGACAGATGGTAGAATGTTCCCATGAGGAATGCTGACTTCTAGCTTGGGGCGAGGGAGCAAGAAGGCTGTGGGATGGCATGTGGGCCTGGCTGGGAACTAAGGGAGAACATGCAGAGCTGGAAGAGAAGGGCCTCCTTGGGGAGGGGTCAGCATTGCAAAAGCCTATCAAATGGTGTGCAACCAGGGAGAGTCTGTCTGGAGAACAAGGTCGGGTAGGAGACAGGGCTGAAAGGGAAGCCCCGAGGCTTGTCAGGACATTCCCACCCTTCCACTGATTTAGCCTCTGCAGGAGGACTAGAGTTTGGGGCTGAGGGCTGTGGGCTCCGTGGGGGCAGGGAGGCCCGCCATGCTCACTGGTGAGTCCACAGTGCCAGGCTCATGCCCAACATACAGCCGAGACTCAAGACCTCTTCTCTGCTGGGCAGAGAGAGGGGCTGGAAGCAAGGAGAAATGTCATCTGCCATACCCGGGCCCCACGTACGAGCCTGCACACCGACCCTCTTGCCTGATCAGGACAGCCGTCCACTGGGCTCGGGGTGGTTTCACCTGCTTCTCCGGTGGGGAGACTGTAGCTCTGTATAGGGCATGGGGCTAATAAGTGGCAGAGTTGGGGTTGAAGCCCAGGTCTGTATCAAACTGCAAAACCCATAGTCTTTCTAGAAACACACAATTCTAGAGTCCAGAATATAGAGCACATGGAAGCCCTTTTTAATCCATGTAAGTCCCCAAACAGAAAAACCCCAGGACGTCACCCGGTAACACCTCCCCACCAGCTCTGTAGGAGGAAGCCAAGCCCCTGGGACCCATGGGGCATAACCTGGCAGATAATATCCATCAGGCGGGCACCACTATTCACCTCTAAAAGTGTTCATGACATAAAGCACCTGGCACAGGGCCTTCGGCCTGGCAAGCAGCAAGTACTTATTAAATGATAGTTGTTGGTCTTGTTGACAAGACTGAAATGAGATGAACAGGGTTAGGATTATGATAACAAGATGGTGCCTGATGGCACCATCTCAGTTGGAGTGATTACGACTCAGGGTGGCTCATCTTGAACTGTCTGCAAATCCAAGGATCAGAGAAAAATCTAGAAGTTTTTCATCTGAAAGAGACAGTCCAGGGTAAAGATTTCCAATCTGTGATTTTAAAGACAAGGAAGTTGTGATCCAGAGAAGTTAAATGATTTGCAGAAGGTCACATAGTGAGTTGAAGCTGGGGGCGGCGTGAAGCTCAGGTCTCTGGACTCCCATTCCAGTGCTCTTTCTACCACCTGCAGCCTGTCTTCCAACTTTGTCTGAACCCACTTCAGCACCTGCTCCCTGGCCTTTGTCTGGAGGAGCTCGCTCTTTGGGTGCCATATGTTCTGCTGGCTAACACAGCTCTCAGAACATTGCTGCCAACAATCAAATTCCAGCAGGACTAGTAATCCTCATTCCAGACAGGCAGGTGCCGGTCAGGGCTCAGCCACCAACTCTCTGGAGGGAACTTGCAGCAGTCCCCATATAGGAACCTGCCAGGCACCGGGGGAGGTGTGCCTGCCACACCCCTGCCCTTACTGTACACACTCACGGATCCACATGCCAATCAACAGTTCTCCAGTTCGCAAGAAGCGAGGCAAGGAAGCCTGCAATTATGAATTTACTGAGCAGAAAGGTGCCGGGGTTCTTTCTGCATCTTCTATTAGACACTGAAATGAGACACAGTTATGCATCTCAAATACTTATCACCCTCATCTGGGGATGGTGAAATTATTGCGCCCAGAAAGGGGGGCCCCCAGAGAAAACAATAACGTGTGATGGGAATAACCAGCCTCGCATTTTACACACCACGGAAGGACTGATTAGAAGACAAGTAGCAGAGAAATGGAAGAGAAAAGGAACAAGCAAGGGTGTGCGCTCCAGCTTGCCTCTGCAGGGTGTGACCCAACCAAAGCACCCCCCCCACCCGCCCCCAGCTCCAGATCCACAGGTAGGCAGAGCTGCCAGCCTCCTGCCTCCCAGGGCTGCCTGAGGCTACTCTGTCCCTGCAAGCTGGCCTGCCAGGGCAGCTCCATTCCAGGACATCCGTCCTCGTAAGATGGTGAGCCAACCTAGGAAACCCTGCTCCCAAGTCTACGTCCTGCCCACCATGTCTTGTCCGGGTCATCAATTAGCTGGTTTAAAAGTATTGGAGGTAGCATCAGCCCATCTCTGATTCTTGAAGGCAAGTGATATGAATGAGTCACCCCAAGATTGCCCCCAAAGGCCTCACTGAACTAGCAGAGTGGGCAAGGGGCAGAAGGCTGGAGAACTGAAAGGCTCTGAATTGAACCCAAACATACTGCACTTTTCCCCTTCTTTGAAATCAGATTTATTTTTTAAGATTATTTATTTATTTATTTATTTGACAGAGAAAGACACAGAGAGGGAACATAAGCAGGGGGAGTGGGAGAGGGAGAAGCAGGCTTCCCACGGAGCAGGGAGCCCGATGCGGGTCTCAATCCCAGGACCCTGGGATCATGACCTGAGCTGAAGGCGGACACTTGAAGACTGAGCCACCCAAGCGCCCCTGAAATCAGATTTTAATTCTGAATGATGGGACTCATTTTTAAAAGCTGATCATCATTTTGATTAAAGAAATTGGGGCTGTCTTTGTTTTATGTGGCAAGTGTTGAAGAGTTCAAACTCATTTTCATGAAATAGCACCATCTTCTCAGATTCCTGAGTGGTAGAGAAGAAAGTTATTATAGACTAGTTTAAAATGGCAATTACCTCACGAAATTACTTTGGAGTTTAAAAAACGTTTTCATATACATTACCTTGTTCTGATTTTATTGTTCACGACAACCCTGTCAGGTAGAAGTATTTGTAAGTATGTCTCCTTTACAAATAAGGAAACTGAGGCATGAACAGGTACAGGTTCGGGCTGCGGTAACACAAAGTCATGCTGGGACTTGGAAAGGCCTTTGCTATGGGATGATAGAACATTCTGAAGACATATTCTAGGATGGTGTTTCAAAAGACCATCTCTACAACATATCATGAATCCAGAAACCAGCTGGGTGGGTCACACGTGCTTTTTTATGAAATAAAATAGAGGAGAAAAATAAGACTATGTCACATTAAGGAAGGATAGCCATG